AGCTATGGTGAGCTCCGGCTACAAAAGTGATACATAGAAGAGTATTCATGTGCTGGCGTCCGGGGCCATGTGCCCCCCATCAAATACACTGCATAGTTAGTGTAAGCGTTAATAATTAATACGCTCTCACAATTAAATATTCGGGGGGACACTTGGGGAAGAGCGGGGTAAATTATGTCATATACATATATATATATATATATATATATATATATATATATATATATATATATATATATATAGCGCCGGCAGCCGCCCCTAAGGCGCCACGGGCCGCGTCATCAGCAACAGGGCCCTCCGTTTCCGCAGGCTGTGCACATTTTCCCAGGTGTTCGGGTCGTTGCGTGTCGAAGACTACAGCGTCCATCACCACTCAGCATGATATTAGAGGCGCGCTAATCTGCTAAGGAGTGCGGATGTTACGTTCACGAGGCTCCTTAATGTCATATTCTATAACGAGCGATGCACATATTTTTAATAATTAGTTTACGCCACCCATATTTGCCACGTTGTTGAACAGGTCAAACGCAATTTGTGCCAAAGCACCTCAGGATGAAGGATTGGAGTACCATCCTCTAACAGACACATGGAAAGGCAAAGGTCGGAGTACCTGTTGTCCGGGGCAGCATGCTGAACTGTGTCCCCACAGGAGGTTTATGGTGAACACCGCGACAGCGGCAGAGAGCAAGCCGGGACAGGACCAATACACCCGGAATCAATGAAACTTTAGCAGGCTCGTCTTGGCGCTGGACGTAAAACGACCACGGCCTGGACAGGGGTGGACAGCATTAGTACTGGCTTTCTCGCTCACACCGTAAACATTATTCTCACTTCTTGACCAATGTGGCCGACCGGGACTGCAGCAACTCTATAAAACAGTGCATCACTATAAAGAAATATCAGATCGCCTAACCTATGCTACATGTCCACTCTGTCATATCTGCATACCAATCAGCACATGCCATGCTATATATAGCTCGCTAAACAAAGCTATTTCGGACCGCGCGCGGCCCGCGCCGGCCAAACGAGACAACGCCTGACGTTAACGAGCGTCGATGACACACGGTCGCAATTCAAAGGCTGGTTTGTACCTGGGCGGGCGGCGCCGTCTGCTCTCGCCGAGGGTGTGGCGGCCGCGTGCCACGCCCCGTCTCTGCCGCGCGGCGCGGCGGGGCGGAGCCGTCCGGCCGCGCCGCCGGGACCCGCTGTTCCGAGGCCGAGTAGCGGTCCGCTCAGCCGGCGCGTCATGCGTCGGCCGGCCGGCTCTGGGGCCCCGGCCGCACCCGGACTCCTGCCGCCTCTGGGGCCCCGGTTGCACCCGGACTCCTGCCGCCTCTGGGGCCCCGGTCACACCTGGAATTGAGCCGGCTCTGGGGTCCCGGCCGCACGCGGACTCGTGCCGCCTCTGGGGCCCCGGCCGCACCTGGAACCGAGCGGCTTCTGGGGCCCCGGCCGCACGCGGACTCGAGCCGCCTCTGGGGCCCCGGCCGCACCTGGAATCGAGCGGCTTCTGGGGCCCCGGCCGCACGCGGACTCGTGCCGCCTCTGGGGCCCCGGCCGCACCTGGAACCGAGCGGCTTCTGGGGCCCCGGCCGCACGCGGACTCGTGCCGCGTCGGCCACCTCCGGCCGTCGCGAGCCTCGATGCGACACGGGACCGGCCCGGGCCACGCGCGCGCGAGCCGAGCCGAGCCGAGCCGAGCCGACGCCGGCCGCACCAGGCACGGCAGCCCCACGCTACGTGCGGCATCCACCAGCCTATCTGAAATTCCGCCAGCAGGCGCGAGGAGATTTTATCCTGGCAATGAAAGACTAGGCGCGGCGGCTGTAGCTGCGGCGCCGATAGCGCGCGGCCTCCAGGGCACCGTTCGGCGTCCGGCGCGCGCCCCGTCATCTGCCGGGTGCCGGCGTCGGAGCCGGGGCCACTGCACGGCTCGGACGAGGCTGGGTTCGAAGGCCGCTGGCTCTGCGACGCCGCGAGCCATCGGCGAAAGCCCAGCCCATTACGCATGGCCGTGATCAATCAAATTTCCCACCGCGCCAAAATACAGCCTCGTCTGTAGGGCGGCGCGCCGCCGGCGGGCCAGCTCCACTGACCCCTGACCCCGGCGACGGGGTCCGACGGTGACGTCCCACGCGGACGGAACGTGACGTCACCGCGGGCGTCTGAGCGGGACAGACGCGCCAGGCGCGCGCGCCAAACGGCGCTCGCGTCCGGCCGACCCCGACCGGGCCCCACTCACGGCGCGCTGGGCGGCGTCCGCCGGCGGCCACCGCCCCTCCCCGTGCCACCGCCGCAGGCGGGCCGGCCGCGGCCGGCCGTGCTGGTCGTCGGGGGATGAGGCGTCCACGCCGCTAGCACTAGCCACGCCAGCGACGAGAAGTCCAGAGGAAGCGCCGAGTGTCACACCGATGCGGACGATCGCGCAGGTCGCGCGAAAACACGACATGGGCAGCAAAACATCGCTGTTTAAAAAGCCCATCGCGACTGGCGTCCGAGGGCTGAACTTTCGCATTGTGTTTTACACTGACGGCGGAAGAAGTCCCAATCTCCCTCTCGGCCGCCGGGCTGGCCTCTTCATGGAAAGTTTCTATAAATATGTCCTGAATCTGCCGTCATGTTTTGTGGAATACCAACGGATCATACGGCAAATGATCCCTGCGCGGATCTCAGATCAAACGGCATATGATCCCTGCGCAGATTTTGCCATCTCGTCATGGTGGATATTGATATGCAGTGCCTGTACCAAGCTCAGCACAAAATAGTGTTTTATTTTTTAGTTGGAAGGTCTATGAACGTTACGATTCAGCAGACAGCGACAAAAGCAGAAGGTGCAAGAAGAAGGAGGGACCATAAGAACCATGACATGATCTGACAGGTCCACCACGGCATGACCTGACAGGTCCACCATGGCATGACCTGACAGGTCCACCATGGCATGACCTGACAGGTCCACCACGCCTTACGCTCCTTTTTGTCCGTGCTTACGATGTACCAGTTAACTGAGAAGTCAGCATGCAACATTGGAATGGGGCCTAAAACACACGCTATGTTTTGCAACGAGTGCTGCGAATCGTCAACGAGCTAATAACGAAGTAGAAATTTGAGCTCTACAGAAAAACTGATTCAAGGATTAAGCTTACTAGGTAAGAACAAGCAGACGATAAGAAGACTAAGACGAGCATGGGCAAGTATTTGTACAGATCACCTGATAGGTCATCAACTTGAGCGCGTCAGCACATGTGGCAATAGCTCCACACAGCAGAGTGGGCGCACCAACAGGGCCAGCTCATACAACCGGATGTAAGGTCGCAGAATGCGACCAGACACTGCGGACATCATTTCAGAGTTCCGGTCCGAACCGGCGAGAACCGGCGAGAACTGGATCGAGCAATCAATACCGTGCGGAGCTTGGTATGATCGAGAAACTCAGGTGTCAAACATCAGTGGCTCGTGGTCAGTGGCACACAACCAGTGGAAGATCACTTTGCAACCAGCCCGCGTGCCGAAACTGCAATGACGTCACACTTGAATGGCAAAATTTCGGTCTCATAACCGAAACACTGAGAGCCTTAAAATCGCTGCTGCTGTACTTGGTTTCCGTTCAATTCGCGCAACAGTAAAATCGAAAGAAAACGTGACTTCTTGCAAAAAGGGCTGTGACCACAACCCTACCGCCGATAGATCTTGGAACACGGCTGGCATGCTGAGGGAAGTACCAATCACGCCACGGCACAGAGCCACTCACAGACCTCAACCAAAGCAGTGGGCATGGCCTTCGCCGTCTATGCAACGTACTTATCGGTAATGCTACCCATCAACGTCGTCGCCCATTCCAGCACGCGCAACGCGTATCCCATCCAGTCATTTTGTGGGAACTCCCTACTGCTTAGGTCACTGGGTCGACCCGGCCACCTACGCCGGTGGCGGCGTCAGCTGGGGATGTGGCAGCCACAGATGCACGGCCCCGCCCCCGCCGACGGGCCACCTGGCGCGGGGCGGGGGCGGGGCGGGCCGGCCGCCGGCACCCTCCCACGCACAGCTGCGTCGCCGCCGGCCGGCCCGCCCAGCCCCGCCCGGCGGCGGCAGCGTCCCAAGTCAGGCGGCACGGCGCACACGCCGGCGAGGCTTCTAAAGGTGTAGATGCTTGCTGGAGGAAACAATAACCTCCACCCATAGGGCTTCAGGACAGGCTGCACCAAGCAGTGACACTGGTGTCAAAGCTATGCTCCAGGGAATTCGGCCAAGTGTTCTATAAAAATGTCTGCCGCTCTCCTCCGCTCCGCTGCCAAAGAGCCCATTTGGGCCTATCCTGTAAATCCATACTCCGTGATGCGTTGTTAGAACGGCTCGTAGGCATGTAACCGATCCCTGCCCGCCACCACTGGTATGTAGCAACTCCTATCCGCTATTTGTGAGAGGGATACCAAATGATAAGCGGGATCTCACTATGGGCACCGGTACTCCTGGCCTCGATATCATACACCAAAGCAACGGTCCGGCACCGGTCAGCCCCCCTCCCCCCCCCCCCCCCCCGTCCGCGCTCGGTCCCAGATACCGTGTCCGCTTCGCGACTCAGACCGCAGAGCGAGACCTGACGCACGGCTGAGCTCTTCTGCGGCCGTTTCCGGGAGTCACACCTCCAGCGCCGGCACTGGGAGGTGATCTCGGGACAGCGGACCGCTCCTCCAACACCGGCGCTGAGAGGTGGTCCGGAGACAGCACGCCCCTTCTCTGAGCCCAGCGCTTCCAGCGCCGGCGCTGGGAGGTGGTCCCGGCACAGCGTACCGCCTCTCTGTGTCCCGCGCCTCTAGCGCCGTCGCTGGGAGGCGGTTTGGAGACAGAGAACCGCCTCTCTGAACCCCTCTAACGAGCAGAGCCACAGCTCTGCGGTCCCAACTCGCGCGGACTGCGCCGTGACGGCAGACAGAGCGCGCCGCGCGGCAGGGGTGGCTGTGACACGCGGGCCGGCGTCACGCACTGGCGCTGAGCAAGCCCACCTGCAGCGCGATGATCCGGGCCAAACTCGTGGTGCTGGGCGAGCTCTTGCCGTTCGGCAGCTCGATCATGTTGTCCGGGAAAAATTGCTGAAACAAGAGGATACAAGTCAGCAGTAGGCTTCAGGTTTGTTGTTCATTGGATCGTCGGGAAGAGAAAACCCGACAACGTCATTTCAGGGACGGCAAACATATAAAAACAGGCGAAGGAAAATTATACTTTGTTGACTTTTTGAGAGTTCGATCCGAATCTTTCGGATTTCTGAATTTTGGGACGTGCTCACGCTAAGCAGTGCTTGTTCAGCGAGCCCTAAGCTCAACCATCCGATCGCGCAATTCCAGTTCAACGGCAGAATTGGGTGGCGAAAGTTTAACGGGCCGCAATGTTCGGCACGGTCCGTCTCACCCTCTGACGTCACCTGACATTTAGCGCGGCCGCTGCCACCGGCCGCAGGCCATACCTGTCCAGAACAAGTAGCGAGCGCTAAAAGCCACTCGAACTCACCCCGCCACGGGCGGATGAACCAGAAGGCAGACGTTCTACCCATCTGAGCCAACGGGACGGAATTCCGTCGTGTTCCTTTTCCTGTATCGCCATACCATTACTGAGTATTAATATCAAGCTTCTACATAGCTGGGGGTGGGGGGGGGGACGAAACTAACCCCATCCTCCCGCACACACCACTTCCGTGCGCGCTGTGCATGTCGCCAGTCGACGTCGCAAAACGGCAAGCATTGGCAGGCGGCGTACTAGCTTAAAAATGCCCTCTTCTGCGAAAACGACAAATTATGGCCTACGTGCACCACGACCCGTCTTTGAGATGTGCCAGCGAAACAACGGGCTTATCAGTGAAGTACAAAATTATGCGGCAGACATGACACCGGGACGAGAATTTCGTGAGGAAAGAGAGCGACTGATATGGGCCGGGAGGCGAGTGGCAATGCGACGTGCTTCCAGCCCCGGTCATGGCCGTGCTACGTACTGTCATGAACACCTGCCTAGCAGATGTCGTACCCTTGCTCAGAGCATAGACATATAGCTTAACGTATAACACGCACGCGCCGCATACAGAGCAACAACGCTTGCCGCTTACACTGTAGAAAATCATAAGAAGAGGATACGCAAGGAGGGACGGCCCTGTCCGTACGTGTGGCGACCGGCAGCCCACGCGCCGCATCGCGCGCGCTGGGGGGGGGGCGACGGGGACGGGTGGATGACCAGGCAAAACGCGCTCTGCATGGGCGGCCTGCCTTCTGCAGACTGGCCTTGGCTCCACAGCCGTTCGCGCCGGCCTGGCATTTCCGCCCGGCCGCCGCCATTCCGTATGGGTTGCGCGGGCACGGGAGCAGACAGGGCCGATGGGCAAACGCGGGCCAGCCGGCGGCGGGCAGACGCGGGCCAACCAGCGGTGGGCACACGCGGGGGCCAGCCAGCGGCGGGCGCGCGGGTCAGCCGGCGGTGGGCAGGCCGCCCACCGGCCGTGCCTAGACGGGCCGAGCTCCAGCTGGCCGCGACGACTCGCGGGCCAGCAGCCAGCACCAGCGGGAGGCACACCCACGCTGGCCGTGAATATTCCGGGCGAGCGGCCAGCGCCGGCGCCCTTCAGACGGGCGGCTGCCGGGGCACCTGGCGGGGTAGCCCGAGCTTGGGGCGCAGCGCAGGAGCTGCCTACAATCGGTCCACAACGACAGGCAGGGCAGGCGCACCGTTCAGCGACGCAAGAGACCCCGGAAGCGGAATGGCCGCACCGACTCCTCGAAAAGCAGCCCACTGACCTGGAGGCTGAGTGGTGACTAGCCGCAATGAACACCGGTTGGCCGTCGGGTACCGACCACCAGACGCCCGGGCGGTTTAGTAGCGACTCCGGGTGAAGGATCTCCTGTTCGCTGCGTCCTGGACGACGCCACATCGCGCCGTGCGTAACAACATCCCGTGCTCCTCCCCCTCCCCCCGCACCGGCCAGCTGCTCTCTCGACAGCTGTTTAGCTGACGGCCCGGCCACGGCCAGGGGGACGTCCGCCGGACGCTCGGATCGAATCGCCGCTCGCTCGGATCCAGACGTCCCAGCACACCTCAATATCGGCCAGGGGAACGTCCGCCCGACTTGGATCGCCGCTCGCTCAGATGCGGACGTCTCTGCACACCTCGCTGTCGGCCAGCCGGCACCAGGACGGCTGGTCTGGCGGTGGCGGCGCCCAGCCGGACGGACGCATCGGCAGCCGAGCGTCCGGACAGGGGGCATCGGCAGCCGAGCGTCACGACAGGGAGGCATCGGCAGCCGAGCGTCCGGACAGGGACGCATCGGCAGCCGAACGTCCGTGGCAGGGACGCATCGGCAGCCGAGCGTCCGGACAGGGACGCATCGGCAGCCGAGCGTCCGGACAGGGGGCATCGGCAGCCGAGCGTCCGGACAGGGACGCATCGGCAGCCGAGCGTCCGGACAGGGAGGCATCGGCAGCCGAGTGTCTGGACAAAGACGCATCGGCAGCCGAGCGTCCGGACAGGGACGCATCGGCAGCCGAGTGTCTGGACAAGGACGCATCGGCAGCCGAGCGTCCGGACAGGGGCACGGCGCCTCATGTCGTCACCGGCATGCACGCACTGAACACCGAACACCGAACACCGAACACCTAGCACGAGCACAGCTGCCCGTCTGGCTCAGCGACCAGACATACAGGCTGCTTGAGTGTTGCCGTCAGAGCCAGGCTTGGGGTTATGTGCCTTCGATTCTTTGATCTTCATGTGCGCGTCAACGTCGTTATTGCATGATATTGCCTAGTTTAGAACAGAGATTCACGGATAACGACGTCACCATGACAGCGAACGTCACTAGTGGTCTGCTCACATAGGCGTTTTTCCCCCGTGCGTCAGACGCGCGTCAAAAGCGAGTGACGTCATACAAGTATGACGTACAACGCATACCTGAGGCTGCTTAAATTGACATCCGAGAGAGCTTGATCATCGCAATAAAGGTCATGCCTAAGTTCCGAATGTTCGCTTAAGTCATGCTGAATATCCCGGTGTGCAAGAAAGCTGCAATCGATAAGCGACCGCTAATCGTCTACAAATACCACAGAAATTAGTCATTGAGTTGACATTTAATAACATTCCTAGGGCTTCTCGGGTTACTCTTCTCGAAAAGACAGACTAGGGTGGCCAAACGGGTGATGGGAAAAGAAGGCAAATCATGTGTGTGAGCGACAAAAGGTGTCGGAAACGACGACGACGGTGCAAAACGCTGACGCGGGGAGATGCTCGACTTGCAGCCAATTCAAAGTCAAGGGCTTTAGTACGTACGTCATAAGTTAATAGTACGCGCCACAAAATGCCTGTGTGAACAGATCTTCATAAAACACGATGGGGAAAGAGAGCAGGTCGGGGGTGGAGGGCACTTCACCCACGCACACTTCCCAGGAGGGAGCAGCGGCGTCCCACGCGCCACACCTAAACCGAACTGTTCCGACACGCATGTAATACAACTGACCGCTGCGCGCCTGATATGTGACGATTAGGGAGTGGGAGTGTAACACGGGCGCCGGAAACGCCACAGCCTTGGCAGACACCTCCACAATCCTGGCCGACACCTCCACAACCCTGGCAGGCCCCTCTGCAATCCTGGCAGGCACCGCCCCCACCGCTAGGCCTCTCGCGCGCCTACGCGTCAACGCCGGCTGATAAGTCAGGGCCAGCCGCTTCCGCCGGCACGCATTCCACGCGGGTCACGGGGGGGGGGGGGGCAGCCGCCCGAGGGCTCGCCTCAGCGGGGCCCGTCTCTCGCTCCGGTCGAGCCGTCGCGGTCACGGCGGCGGCGCCACGGCTCCCGCTGGTGCAGCTCGGCGCCAGCGTCGCTCCGCGTACGCGGCGAGACTCGTAAGGCGCAGTGCTTCGGCGGCCAGCGAGAAACGTGGGCCCGACGAGTCCGTGCCATGGAGACGGGTCCGTGACACGGACACGGGTCCGGGACACGGAGACGGATCTGGACACGGACACGGGTCTGTGATACAGAGATGGGTCCGGGACACGGGGCCGGATCCGGGCACGGAGACAGGTCCAGCACACGGAGGGGACACGGGGAGGAGTACGGAACACGGAGACGGGTCCGGGACACGGAGACGGATCTGGGCATGGACACGGGTCTGCGATGCGGACATGGGTACGGGACACGGAGCCGGATCTGGGCACGGAGACAGGTGCAGCACACGGAGACGGGTCTGGGACACGGAGAGGCGTCCGGGACACGGAGACGGGTCCGGGACGCGGAGACAGATCCGGGCACAGAGACAGGTCCAGCACACGGAGAGGGGTCTGGGACAAGGAGAGGAGTCCGGGACACGGAGAGGAGTCCGGGACGCTGAGACGAGTCCCGGACACGGAAGAACATGATCCGGGCGATGACAGGAGGACGGGCTCTAATCAGTCTGGACTTATCAACATGTCGATCACCGCGCGTAGTCGTGGTCAAAATGAGATCTGAACCACGATTCCGCGTGGAATGAGGGAGGACCTCCAGGCGTTGGACCACCCTGTGCGGGACCTGTTTTGGGCTACGTACTACAGATACTAGACACGCTGAGGCTTGACGAACACCGTCACGACACCCCCTGCACCGATCTGATGTGGTTGGAATTATCCACTTCATCGTATGATTTTCACAACACGACAGCCATGGCCAGGTGACACAGATCCGTGGGATAAGCTTGCCGGGATATGGTAGTTTAAACGGCGGACGGCGCGTCATGAATGCAAAACCCCGCGAGCCCGACGTGATAATTTTTTATCGCTGATTTTTATCGTTGAAAAACAAGGTTGCAGGAATTATGCAGAAATTCTTAACCAGTCACATTTCAGCCTTAGCAGGCTTTCGCCATCATTCCAATAGTTCGATACGTGATCACTTTTCAACCATAACTGGTCCAAAAGGCCTATAAGAATGTGGGGCAGCATGCAGTCAACCGGAGTCTGAGCGCTCAGACAGTGCGCAGTCTTCCCGAGTCTGAGAGCTCAGACAGGGCGCTGTTCCCCGGTTGTCTAAGCGCCCAGACAATGCGCGGTCTCCCCGAATCTGAGCGTACAGACAGTGCATGTCTAACGAATGCACGCCTTCATGCTCGAAGACAAGACCAGATTCGAGGTCCTAGCGCCGCTACCGTTCGCTCGCGCTCAACTGCGGCGACTGATTCGCCAGCACGCTGGCGCGCAGAGGCCTGCACCGGCGTTACGTGACCAGTCGAGTTCACGGTCACCATGCTCGTGGGCTCGTGAGCGGCTGGCCCAGACTGCCGAGTCACTGTCGCCTCACACTGCCAAGCTGCCAGGGCTGGGGCGTTTGGCCCTCAGGCAACGTCAGCCGAGTTACGGTCGTAATGAGCATGTATTTGTTTTGTTTAGTGAGGCGTTTTAAACGTAATTGGCAGAAAACTGTACGGATTGACAAAACCTTCACCAGGTGGTGTTCAGAATTTTGCTCTGCGAGAATTGCATTGATAACCGAAGTAGCTTCGTCTCCGATGTATTTGCTTCTCCTGCGCAGTTCAAACGCATTCGCGATAATGCATGTAAACATGCATTTCTGCATGCGTTCACTT